TACTGTGTGCAGGACAGGAAGGCACGTCTTGGAGCATGCCTTGTGCTTTTAGGGTGACCTGGAGCAGGCCCCCAGGTGACCACAGACTCAGGAGGGACAGTCTGCGCAGCTCCCCGATCAGGAACCCAGACCATGAAGTGCAGTCCACGCCAGCCCCTGGAGGAGCCCACGCGTGACATGGGATGAGATGTATTTGATTGCCTTGGTTTGGAGTCACCCTCTTAAGGAATCCATGACAGGTCAGAGTCATGTTAGCTTCCTGACATGTTAAGGGGCATAAATGGATCTGCTGTTGAAGGTTTCCCCCCCCCCCCCGGCCCATTCTGGACACAGAGGACAGGCCCCTCTCTCCCTCTCTCTAAGGCATGTCTTGGCCACCAAATGCATTTGTTTCTTGGAGGGGCAGGTGGGATGGGCATGGGCTTTGGTGGCCTCAAGTGGTCCCCAGCCCAGGAGGGGTGGGAGTGGGGATAAGTGCCCTGCTCTCCTCCATGCACAGCAGACGTGGCTGGGCCGGGGTCCCAGTTTCTCAGTGGACCCCTGGCAGGACTGAGCCCCAGGTGCCCACAGCGCTAACCCCTGTCAATGTGATGTTTACTGGCTTTCTGCCTTCTCTGTCCGAGTCCCCCTCTCTCTTGTAGCTCCCAAGAAGCACCTCCCCAATAAACTGCTTGCACCAAACTCCTTGCTGTGGAGATTCAGGGTCTGCTTGGGACGGCAGGACCACCCCTTCTGTGTCCTTCGCATCTTATTTATGAGAAGTAAGAAATAAGAAATAAAAAGAGGTGAGCAGTAAAGACAACAGAGAAATCTTCTATAAGAGAGAGAGTTGGCACATGGGAACACGATGCGGGACTCAGCTGACATCGTTACCGGATGCTCAAATCATGAAGTGGTGTTTCCACGTGGGGCAAAGGAGGAGACACGGTCTGGGTGAGCAGAGAAGGCGGTGGAGTCCTCAGGCCATGGGAATTCAGGCGGGAACGGCCTCAGCGGGGATCTGAGAGGGGCCCTGCCGTGGGGTCTGAGGGTAGCAGCTGGGAGCCCTGGGGCCTCAGGCCTATCTCAGACGCAGGTCGCAAGATAGTGCCCCTCGTCCTACTAGGAGGAAAAGCGAAGAGCTGGGGACAGTAAAGACGACACCCTAACCCTGTTTGCAGACCTGCCCGAGGCCCAGCGCCGTCAGACCCCATGGCAGGGCGGCCGCCCCGAGGTGTCTGTGCAGGGGTCGGGGAGGCCCAGCGCCAGGGAGCTGAGAGCCCGCCGGGGTGTGCGGTGGGGCTGGGGCCACCGAGGCTCCAGCAAGTTGTTTGGAGAGCGGCTTTGAGCATGGTCGGGACCTCGGATGGGAGCCTTGTCAGAACAGCACTGTCGGGTGAGCGCTCACCTGATCCTGGACCCCTGGGCAAGCAGAAGAGCAGGACATGAGGATCCCCCAGAGCTGCCCTATGACCCCAAAATTATGAAACCAGCACTGCCTGCGCCTCCCCACGTGGCACTGCTCTGGGAGGAGGAGGGACCACGTGGAGACAGCTCCAGGCTTTCTGGGCGCAGCCCCCGGAGGCCCAGGATTCTGCCTCCACTGTGCCCCAGAAGCTTCCACTGCATCCTGGGGAGGGGCCACCGCCACCCATGGGGACCGTTCCCCAGAGCTGTGGTCTTGGCCCCTGATAATGACCCCGCATGAGCCACAACTGGTGCCTTCGTGGTTGTCAGCTCGCTGGGGACAGGGCCGCATTCCCCAGGAATGTGGAGAAGGGTCTGCAGAAAGCCAGGGAGCTGCAGCGTGGGGCATGTGTCCTCGCCCCTGGCCTGGGGGGTGCCATCTGCTCCCACCCCTCCTCCCTCAGCTAATAGTACCCAGGACAACCACAGCCCACCCCTTCCCCTCTGCCATGGACTTGGGACTCTCAGAAAACAGCCCCACACTCAGTGCCCCCCACAGGGCCCTGGGACACCACAGAGCTTTAGGACAGAGGTCCCCAGACGACAGATGCCCACTCAGCCATGCGGCCCTGTTATTCCGTACGGTCACAGGGTAGGTGTGTAAATTGTGGGCAATCTCCATGAACTTGTTTGTTTTCAGTTTTGTTTACGTCAGTGAGAATGGACATCCCAGGGCAGCTCATGCACAGCGTTCTTTCACAAACCACCATCATACAGTGTAATTAGGAGTCTTCAAGCCCAAGTCACCAAAACAACACAATTTACAATTGCCTTGGTCTCTTGGATTTTGGAAAATTAAAATGATAGAAACAAGAAAACGTGAATTCTTGCTGCACCAGCAGCACGATCCTGGGGCTTTCTGCCCCTACGGCCAGCAGCGCAGCCCTCTTGTTCCTGGGGGGCGGCTGCCTCGGGGAAGGGCCACTCACTCGGGCCCGGGCCTGGCACTGAGGAAGGCACAGTCCTGGTGGCACCGCCCAGTGCAGGCGCCTCTGCGAGCCAAGGGCGCTGTTCACTGTGCAGGAGCAGGTGCAGTGACTTCCTCAGCCCCAGCACCCACCCTGCAAGGCTCCCTAATGTTTATGGAAACTCTTATCAACTAACTCATCTATTCCTCACCAAAATTCAATGAAGTAAGTGTTTCCACTTTACAAACGGGGTTCAATGTCTGCTCCAGACCCATCCCGCTGATGGGCAGCAACTGCAGGACCTGGCCCAGAGCTCCCCGTGGGGCACGGCGAGGCATGTGACTGTGGTTTACTGCTGCTGGTGGCCCTCCTCCCTGGCCCTTTCCCCAGAGGTCAGTCTCAGCCTGGGGCTGTCCTGATGCCCCACGGTCCAGGGATCCACACACTTGACCTTGGTGGTATCATCTTATAAATTCTGTATTATGTAAGCTGCACTGTATTGTATACACTGTATGGGGAGTCTCACGTGTACTGGGAAACCTGCATTGTGTTGTGTGTGGTACTGTAGGGCACTGTTCTGTGCTGTGTTGTACTGCACCATATTGTATCATCCTGTCCTGTACTGCCCATGCTGTGCTGTATTGCATGTGCTGTGCTGTGTTGTGTTGTTCTATATCATATTACACTGTACTGTACAGCACTGTGCTGTGTTGTACTATGTCATGCTGTACTGTGCTGTATCATGTTGCATCATGCTGCACTGTGCTGCGTTGCGCTGCCTTGTGCTGTTGTGCTGTGTTGTACTGTACTGTGCTGTGCTGTGTCGTGCTGTGTTGTGCTTCACTGCACTGTTCTGTCATGCTGTGTTGTGCAGCACTGTGCTGTGTTGTGCTGCAGTATGCTGTGTTGCACTGCACTGTGCTGCCATGCTGTGTCATGTGTGCTGTGC